CCTCCCAAAGTGCTGGGATTACAGGCTTGAGCCACCGCGCCCGGCCTTTTTTTTTTTTTTTTTTTAAATGGATGAGAGATTCTTATGTTGCCCAGGTTGGCCTTGAACGCACAGCCTTGCCTGCTCAAGTGCCAGGACAATTGGCCTGAGCCACTGCGGCTCCCCCTTTTTTTTTTCTATTGAACTTTTAATTTCAGATATTATAGTTTTCTCATCTAGAATTTCCATTTGGTTCTTTTTGTTCGTTTGTTTTGTTTAGACAGGGTCTTGCTCTGTCACCTAAGCTGGAGTTCAGTGGTGTGATCAGTTTCAACCTCCTGGGCTCAAGTGATCCTCCCACCTCAGCTGCCCAGGTAGCTGGGATTACAGGCACGTGCTACCATGTCTGGCTGATTTTTAAATTTTATGTAGGAATGGCGTCTCACTGTGTTGCACAAGCTGGTCTTGAACTTCTGGGTGATCCTCCCACCTCAGCCTTCCAAGGTGTTGGGATTACAGGTGTGAGCCACTTGGCTATTTGGTTCTTTTTTAGACTTTTCATTCCTTTTCTGCAATAACTCATCTATTCACACATTGTATCCATCTTTTCCCATACATCCTTTTAACATATTTGTAATAATTTTTAAATTCCTTCTCTACTGATTCTGATAACTGGGTCATTTATGGGTTTATTTCAATTGCTTCTTTTTCCTGTTGGTTATGCATTACACTTCCCTGCCTTGCTATTGCATGTGTTATATTTTTAGAACTGCATTCTGGATATTGTGTATGAAAAGCAATTATATATCATCATTTTTTAGTGTTTATATGCATATATATACACACATACATTCACACACTTTATGGCATATGCGAGCTCCTTCTCGAGTAGCAGTTAGGGTTAGCGGCTGATCATTCAGATTCCTCCTAAAGCTGAGTTGAACGTGGGTTGGGCTGCAGCTTTAATTAAATTTCATACACTTCAATCCAATCTCTGGCACTGCCACTTTGAGCTTGTTAGTATTTGAGCTAGGTAGAAGTTGGGCTGCAGTGCCGATTATTGTTTATTTTTATTTTTATTATTTATTTTGAAATGGGAGTTTTGCTCTTATTGCCCAAGCTGGAGTGCAATGACGTGATCTCGGCTCACTGCAACCTCCACCTCCTGGGTTCAAGTGATTCTCCTGCCTCAGCCTCCAGAGTAGCTGGGATTACAGGCATGTGCCACCACATGGGGCTAATTTTGTATTTTTAGTAGAGATGGGGTTTCTCCATGTTGGCCAGGCTGGTCTCGAACTCCTGACCTCAGATGATCTGCCAGCCTCAGCCTCCCAAAGTGCTGGGATTGCAGGCATGAGCCACTGTGCCTGGCCTTTTATTTTAGAGACAATGTTTCACTATGTTGCCCAGGCTGGTCTCCAACTCCAGTTTTTCATCTGTCAACATAAAAAAATAGAGACAAATCTCCAAGTAAAAAGGTTTTATTTGGGAATAATATACAAGAGGTAGAACTGCAATCCAGGATGTCCATATAGACTAGGGTGGCCCCCAGCATGTCTGAAAACAAAGGAAAACGTTATGGTTCTCTTGGGGAAAGAGGAGATTTAAGCAAGTTGTTTCAAAAGAAAGCTCACTGGTGCTAGCAGCGTTTTCTAGGAGAGGTGGTGAGTTCAGTAGCAGATTGGTGACTGTCAGTAATCACTAGGTAGGACTTGGGGTCTTGGAGTTCCTGTTAGGCCCGTGCAATTTTGGACTGGGCCTGAGAAAGTGTCAGGCTAGTGTTCTTGTATTAGCTGCTAGCTGCCCTTGTGTCTCATGTGGTAAGCTGTGATTTGAAAACTGTTCTTGTGATAGTTCTTCTTATCTGGCAAATCATACGTGAGAACCATCCCTTCATGACCTTCCCTGGCTCTGTTTTTTAATCTTTTTATTTTTTGTTTTTTGAGATGGAGCCTCACTCTGTCGCCCAGGCTGGAGTGCAGTGGTGGGATCTCAGCTGACTGCAACCTTTGCCTCCGAGGTTCATGTGATTCTCCTGCCTCAGCCTTATGTGTTGCTGGGACTACAGGTGTGCACCACCATGCCCACCTAATTTTTTTTTTTATTTTTTGAGACAGAGTCTTGCTCTGTTGCCCAGGCTGGAGTACAGTGATGCAATCTCAGCTCACTGCAGCTTCTGCCTCCTGGGTTCCACTGATTCTCCTGCTTCAGCCTCCTGGGTAGCTGGAATTACAGACACACGCCACCATGCCTGGCTGATTTTTATATTTTTAGTAGAGACAGGGTTTCACCATGTTGGCCAGGTTGGTCTGCAACTCCTGACCTTAGGTGATCCCACTCACCTTGGCATCCAAAAATGCTACAATTACAGGCATGAGTCACTGTGCCTGGCCTAATTTTTTTGTATTTTTAGTGGAGACAGGGTTTCACCATGTTGGTCAGGCTGGTCTTAAACTCCTGACCTCAAATGTTCTGCCTTCCTTGGCCTCCCCAAATGCTGGGATTATAAGCGTAAGCCCCCTTGCCGGGCCCCCTGGCTCTATTTTGCCAGGGTTTGACACAAGTGACTCCATTTTGAATCTGACAATTTTCACACACCACTAATTATGTGAGCTTGAGGTTTTTTAGATGCTTTTATCAAGTTTAAGAAGTTCCTCTCAGAGTTTTTAAATGAATGAGTGTTAAATTTTGTCAAATACTTTTCCTGCATCAATTCATATGATCATGTGATTTCTCCTCTTTAGTCTGTTAATATGACTGATTAAATTGATTATTATTATTATTATTTTTTTTGAGATAGTCTCTCTCTGTTGCCCAGGCTGGAGTGCAGTGGTGCTGTCTTAGCTCAGTGCAACCTCTGCCTCCCCGGTTCAGGTGTTTCTCTTGCGTCAGCCTTCTGAGTGTCTGGGATTATAGGCGTCCACCACCACACCTGGCTAATTTTTGTATTTTTTGGTAGAGATGGGGTTTCACTATGTTGGCTAGGCTGGTCTCGAACCCGTGACCTCAAGTAATCTGCCTGCCTCAGCCTCCGCCCAAAGTGTTGGGATTACAGGCATGAGCCACCATGCCCAGCCCATTGATTAATTTTTAAATATTGAACCAGCCTTGCCTACTGGCAGAAGCTCCACTTGGTTATGTTATATAATCCTCTTTATACATTGCTAAATTCTGTTTGATAGTATTTTGTTAAAGATTTTTGCACCTATATTCACAGGGGATATTTGTCTGTGGTTTACTTCTTGTGTACTGTCTTTGGTTTTGATATCAGGCTGATAGTAGCTTCGCAAAATGAATTTTGAAATTCTCCCTCCTCGTCTGTTTTCTGGAAGAGATTGCGTAGGATTGGCGTTAATCCTTCTTCAAATATTTGGGAAAATTCTCCAGTGGAACCATCTGGGCCTGGAGATTTCTTTTTTGGGAGGTTTTGAATTATGAATTCAATTTCCTTAATAGCTATAAAGCTATTCGGATTCCCTGTTTCATATTGGATGAGTTGTAGTAATTGTGCTTTTTGAGGAATTGGTCCATTTCATTGAAGTTGTCACATTTAGGTGTGCAGAGCCATCAGCGACATTTCCTGCTTGTGGCTGCGATGCCTGCTGGCTCTGTGCTGGTGGCCTGCGTTGCAGTCTTCATCTTGGGTAGTTGTTTCTTTTGTCAGTCTTGCTGACAAATAGGTTTGTCAATGTGATTGCTCTTTCCAGAGAAATTGCCTTTTATTTTACTGATTTGCTATAATGTTTTTCTGTTTTTGATTTTATTGATTTCCAACTTGCCCCCTTTGACATCACCCCAGAGTGGGAGGGGCATCTTGTTACTGCCAGGCTGGGGAGGAAGTCCAGGCTCCACACGAGCTCTCCACTGAGGCAGTGGGGGTGGGAGCCTCATTACCGCCTGGCAGGGATGAAAGCCTGGCTCTGTCTGTGACCTTCTCTGACAGCACCGAGCAGGAGTGTTGGGCGCCCTGCTGCCACCTCAGGGGAAGTCTTGACTCCCTATGTGGGCTTTGCTGGCATCACTGGGGGTGGGCCACGGATGTGTTCTGGGGGGTCTGGCTGGAGTAGAGCAGTGATTGTCTAAGTCTCTGTCTGGCTGGGTCACCCTTTTCTTGGTCCTTCGCTAGAGAGGTGTGCTTTTCTTGGAGCTTTGGTCATCTTTGCCCATTGGCATTTCTGGGTTGGTGGCTTTTCATCTCCATGTCTGAACTATATAAGACAAAAAGGAAACCCGGGGAATTCACCACCGTGTAGTTCCTGTGGTCCTGAAATCTGCAGCCAGTCTGCCTTCTTCTCTTTTGGTCTTAAACTTGGTTTGTAGATGATGTCTTGAGTTTTCAGTTGTATGAGCAAGAGGAAGAGGAGAAAGTACATCTGCTTCATCTTCCCAGATGATTGCCAGGAAAGGGCTTTGCAAACACTTCTCATTTCATGTAAGGGTTAGTCACGGCACATGTAAAGCCGCTAGATCACGCCTGGCACGTAGTAGGCTTGGATACAATGATCGTTATTTCCAATGATTCGAAGATTCTGTAATTCTCAGTTTGATTATGCTAAGTGTTATCAGGCTCTAATGCTAAATTCTGAAATACGGTATGGAACTTTCCAGGTGTGGAACTTGACTTCTCTTCCTCCCACTTTTTTTTTTTTTTTTTTTTTTGAGACGGAGTTTCGCTCTTGTTACCCAGGCTGGAGTGCAATGGCGCCATCTCGGCTTACCGCAACCTCCGCCTCCTGGGTTCAGGCAATTCTCCTGCCTCAGCCTCCTGAGTAACTGGGATTATAGGCACGCGCCACAATGCCCAGCTGATTTTTTGTATTTTTAGTAGAGACGGGGTTTCACCATGTTGACCAGGATGGTCTCGATCTCTTGACCTCATGATCCACCCGCCTCAGCTTCCCAAAGTGCTGGGATTACAGGCTTGAGCCACCGCGCCCGGCCCCTCCCACTTTTTTCCTCTCCCTGCGCCATCCTAGGAAAATCATTGATCCTGAGCAAATGTTCATTGCCTTATCTTGCAGAGAGCAGGGAGCACCAATCCGGTTCAAGACCGCCCTCATGAACACACTCATGGATGTCCTTCGCCACAGGCCAGGATGGGTGGAAGTGAAGGAGTAAGATGTTCCCCCAGCCTTGTCCCTCCTTCCCTTTGTCTCACAGGTCCTTGTCTTCCTTGGTTTTTCTCCCAGTTCCCCTGGGTGGCTACTGAATTGTCCCAAAGTGGCTGTGACATTTATTCAACACCCACAATGTGCCAGGCACATTATCGCTGTCATCTGTGTCTTATTTAAGCCTTTCAACTAAACCCGTAAGATAAGATTATGTTCAGAGTTATTAAACCAATTGCTTAAGGTCACACAGCATGTGAGCATCAGAGCAGGATTCAAACCCAGGCACATTTGTGTCCTGTGGCTTTCAGCAGAGACTAGGAATGCAGCTATCACAGACCTGTGGCCTGGATTCTCCAGTGACACAGGTCCAGATCAAGGACTGTTCATCCCTGGGCACTTGCTGATTCTGTGACTTTGGCCCGTAAGCCTGCCTTTCTTTTTTTATGTTGGCCTCTGGAGATACTGATTGAGACAAACCAGCATGTGATTCCAGCACAGAGTAGGTGCTGTTAGTGAGGGCTAAGGTTTGGATGCATGCAGTGGAAACATCAACTGTCTCATTGAAGTCCATATGTAGGAGGTTCAGAGATGGTAAGGGGGCCCCACAGAAATGTGGGATCCATTTGCTTCTGTCTTTCCACTCTACTATCCCTTAGGTGAGGCCCTTGTTTTTCGTAGTTCAAGGTGGAGCTCCAGCCTTGCTTTCACATTCCAAATAGCAGGAGGTAGGCAAGAGGCAAGAAAAGGTATAGGCCAGGTGCAGTGGCTCACACCTATTATTCCAGCACTTTGGGAGGCCAAGGTGGGAGGATCGCTTGAGTCCAGGAGTTCAAGACCAGCCTGAGCAATGTGGCAAGACCCTGTCTCTACAAAAAAAAATTTTTTAAAGTTAGCCAGACATAGTGGTATGTGCCTGAAGTCCCAGCTACTTGGGAGGCTGAGGTGGGAAAATTGCTTAAGCCTGGGAGGTTGAGGCTGTGAGGCTGCAGTGAGCTATGATCACACCACAGCACTCCAGCCTGGGTGACAGAGTGAGACCCTGTCTCAAAAATGAAAAAGAAAGAAAAGGCAAGCCCATCCCTTGATGGACACAACCCAGGAGTCTCTCACGGTTCACTGGCTGGACCTTAACCGTGTGGCCACACCCAGCTACAAGGGAATCTGGCAAATGTAGCTTTTATTCTAGGAAATATAGGCTACGTTTTCCCAAGTAAATGCTGAGAATTCCTTTACTGTAGAGAAAGGGGAAAAGGGATAGGAGGGGTAGCTGCCCTGCTGCATGGTGCTCAGGAAATATTTGCTGTATAACAACAGCTAAGCCTGCTAGACACTGTAGCATTTTGCATGCACTATCTTTTGAGCATCCCAACACATCTTCCAGGTAGGTGTTATCATCATCCCCATTTTACTAATGAGAAAACTGGGCACAAAGTAGTGAAAATGCCATGTCTGAAGTCAATCAGCTTATGAGGGCTTGGGCTGGGATTTGCACCTAGTTCGCTGCCTACAGAGCCACAGCCTCATCTTTCAGCGGCTTCTCAGTGGATTAAAGCGTCAGATTTAGCAGGTGTTATAAATCTGTGATTCCCACTGCCTGGTGCTGAATCCAGCAGGAAAGCTTTACTAAACCATCCCACAAAAAATTAGGAGTTGGCTGTGGTGCAGGTAACCCAAGACACCAGCATCCTCTTTTTAGGGCTTTGGGGAATATTACAGCAGTGACAGTGATGTTGATGGTGTGGTGATGGCAGCCCTTGTGGATTTGCCTTCTTGGTTCTCTTGTGATCATGCTAATGTCAACATGGGGTTTCCTTCCCTGGATCCAGAGGAACTGATGTCATGAAAGGTGTGGGGGGGAGTTGGGAGGAGAGTTGGAGGAGAGTGAGGTGACTGGCTGGTGGGGGTGGCGTAGGGGAGGGAGAGCAATGTCGCCACCAGCTGTGTGACCTCTGTCCACTCCCTGCCGCTCCCCAGCCTCTCCTCAGTGGGCAGGGGAAGAGAGTCTGAGGATTTGTCTGGTGCTGACAGGGTGGGAGCCCTGGAAACAGGATGCTCCATGGCTGATCCCAGATTGTCTCAAGCATCCTTAAATCAGGAAGGGCCCAGAGGCCAGGGTCTTTTCCTTCAACACAGCTCTGTGAATCCAAGGCCTCATCCTTTAGGACCTAAGCTGGGTCTGGGATTTCCAGACAGAATCAGGTCTCAGTTCAGACTGCCAGCCCGTCAGGTCAGCTTAGAACGGATGTGGCTAGAGCTGTCCCTTCCCCTTCCGCCTGAGAAAGATACATGACACCTTGGAACGGCAGCAGCTGTCCTCTGACCCCCGAGGTGATGAGCCTGAGGACAAGTTAAGGATGGCAGAATGGATGCTTCCCTGGCAGGGGAAATGCCTCGATTGGAAGGAGGTTTTCTCAGGGCAAGGCTCATGTATTCCACTCCAGATGTGCTCAGCCCTGCGATTATCTCCAATGTGGGAAACTCAATTGTGTCATTTATGATGATCGGAGACTGGGAAGGTAGAAAGAACCTGGATCTCCACTGACCTTGTTAAGCAATTTGGTGTCTTCCTGGGTGAATTAAGAGCAACTTGATTGTAACAGTCATGAAAATGGTGTGCACAGGAATGAACTTCTGGTCTCAGAACAGAATACAAAATCCACCCTGTGACCTCCACAGCCCTGCTTGATTGGGTCCTGCCCAACTTTTCAGTGTCGTCTCTGACTTCTTTCCTTCTGCCCTGGCTTTTCTTCGTGTTCTTGAACATGCTCTTCCCAACCTCAGGGACCCAGACCCTGCTCTTCCCTCTGCTACAACCTTCTCCGCATTGCTTTTGACCAGGCTGCTCCTCCTCACCCTTCAGATCTCAGCTGAAAGGTCCCTTCCACAGGGTGACTCCACCCAGCATAGGTCCCTCAGCTACCCTGCCTCACGGCCTCTACTGGACCACGTGGCGGTTCACATCACAGTTCTTCATTACAGAGTTGTTTCCTTGTTCATTGTTAATCTTCCCCAGAGAGTTGTGTGCGCCACCTGGCAAGGTGTTCTGTCTTCTCCTGTATCACTGGCATCCAACATTGTCTCTGACACAGAGATAACCTCATTACATACATATTGGAAAAATGAATGAATGAATGAATGGTAACATGTTGTTTACTCATTCATCCATTCAATATACAGGCCTTCTGCTGGGTGCTGGAGGAGTGAGGCATGGGTCATTAACCTAGTTCATACACTCATATTGCTTAAAAGCCAGTGCTAAGCCAGGCGCGGTGGCTCACGCCTGTAATCCCAGCACTTTGGGAGGCCGAGGTGGGTGGATCACGAGGTCAAGAGATCAAGACCATCCTGGTCAACATGGTGAAACCCCGTCTCTACTAAAAATACTAAAAATTAGCTGGGCATGGTGGCACGTGCCTGTAATCCCAGCTACTCAGGAGGCTGACGCAGGAGAATTGCCTGAACCCAGGAGGCGGAGGTTGCGGTGAGCCGAGATCGCGCCATTGCACTCCAACCTGGGTAACAAGAGCAAAAACTCCGTCTCAAAAAAAAAAAAAAAAAAAAGCCAGTGCTATTTTCTAATGAAAACAGAGCCTCAGAAAACAGCTCTTGAACGGACAGACTTCCCCAGTCTTCCTGGTCAGGGGACAGACCCCACGGTATTGATGGCAGCAAAGGTCCAAGTTGAGAGATCTGGAGATTACCTTTTGCAACCCCATCCTTTATCTCTTTGGACATTTTTTCTCCCAATTTAAAATAGATATTTTATTACTTTCTTTTTATTTTATTATTTATTTATTTATTTATTTTGAGACAAGGTCTCACTCTGTCACCCAGGCTGTAGTGCAGTGGCGTGATCTTGGCTGACTACAACCTCTGCCTCCTGGGTTCAAGTGATTCTCATGCCTCAGCCTCCCAAGTAGCTGGGACTACAGGTACATGCCACTATGCCTGGCTAATTTTTATATTTTTAGTAGAGATGGTAGAGATGGGGTTTCGCCACACTGACCAAGCCAGTCTCAAACTCCTGACCTCAAATGATCCTCTCATGTTGGCCTCCCAAAGTGCTGGGATTACAGGTGTGAGCAACCACACCCGACCTTATTACTCTATTTTTAGACCTGATTATTTTAACAAACTGCATGTCGAACTTAATTTTCCCATTCTTTTTAAATTAAGAAATAATATATATAAAATAACCATTTAAATATACCGTTTTGGCTGGGTGCAGTATATGTATGTATATAGTGTGTGTGTGTGTATATATATATATATATATATATATATATACAAATTTATGTATACACACACATACACACACACACACACACACACACACATATACAATTTCACATCTTTTAGTATATTCACCAAGTTGTGTAATCATCACCACTTTTTTTTTTTGAGATGGAATTTTACTCTTGTTGTCCAGGCTGGAGTGCAATGGCACAATCTCAGCTCACCACAACTTTTGCCTCCTGGGTTCAAGTGATTCTCCTGCCTCAGCCTCCCAAGTAGCTGGGCTTACAGGCATGCATCACCACACCCAGCTAATTTTTGTATTTTTAGTAAAGATGGGGTTTCACCACGTTGGCCAGGCTGGTCTCAAACTCCTGACCTCGTGATCCACCCACCTCAGCCTTCCAAAGTTCGGAGATCACAGGTATGAGCCACCATGCCTGGCCAATCATCACCACATTTTTTTCCCACATACCCGCTGTGTCAAAACTACTATCTAATTCCAGAACATTTTCATCATCCCAGGAATAAACCCCATACCCACTAGCAGTCATTCCCATTTCTCCCTCCCTCCAGCCCCTGTCTTGGGCCCTGTCTCTATCTATTCTGGATACATCATGTAAGTGTAATTACACAATATATAACCTTTTGCCTGTCTTCTTTCACTTAACATATTGTTTTCAAGGCTCATCCATATAGCAGTATGCATCACTGCTTCATTCCTTTTTTTGTTTCTTGTTTTTATTTTGAAACAGGGTCTCACCTTG